CCTCTCCCTCTCCCTCTCCCTCTCCCTCTCCCTCTCCCTCTCCCTCTCCCTCTCCCTCTCCCTCTCCCTCTCCCTCTCCCTCTCCCTCTCCCTCTCCCTCTCCCTCTCCCTCTCCCTCTCCCTCTCCCTCTCCCTCTCCCTCTCCCTCTCCCTCTCCCTTTTTTTCTGTCAAAAATTAAATAAAAACATGTTTTTAAAAAGTAATTTTTAGTTAAAAAAAGTATGCAACAGAATTTTGTTTCATAGTTGGGGCAAGAGCATGAAAGACTGGGAAGATTAACAATATCTATTGTGTAGCAGGAACAGTGTGGACATATATATAAGAAATAATGACCACCTCTAAAAATGAGTGCTTAGTGTGAGCCTGCAAGTGTTGTGGATAATAGCTAGAAGTATAAATATAAGGTAGACTGTGGAAGGTAAATACATAAATTGATTTAGGGAAGAAGAATTAAGATATTCAAGTCCCTGACTTAGGACATCCTTGTCCATGTGGACATCTGGTATATGCAACACCTAGGGCCACAGTGGATCCCCATGTGGAAAGGCCAGATATCACTTTTTTTTTTGGGGGGGGATCTAGGGGGCCATTGTGAAGAATAAGGGATCAAACATAAAAAGTTACCTCCTTAAGGCACATCCATAGGAGAAAAGGTAAATTCGATTATCCTGCTTTGAGTTGGAACTTGAGATTTATTTCGCCATAGGAACAGTTGGATCAATTGTGCAATAGGCTTTGAGGATAGGCATGAGAATCTGGTAACCTCTTATACACAGTCTATGTGAACAGGCTGACTTACAAATGAGCCTTCAGAATACCACGTAGGTGGGACTTCCTCTATGCCAGTGGTCGGCAAACCGCGACTCGTGAGCCACAAGCAGCTTGAGAGCCACGGTTTGCTGCTCTGTTGATTAATGAGTTTGCCGACCACTGTTCTAAGCCATTCATTTATGGCTTGGACACCTTGCCTTGTTCTATGACTTAATGAAGAATTAGAAAACTCAGTGGAAAAGAAAAGCACATGTCAGGTGCATAGGATCATCCCTGTTACTCAGTGCAAAACGGAGTCGTAACAGCAAGAGACACTGATACCATGAGGATGCCTATGGGCATTCAGCCTCACCTCTCTGTGCTGTGCTTTCTCTGTGGTGTACATTCTATCTCCGAATAATATTTCCAGTGTCATAAGCCACCTTAGTTAAATATTTATCTCCTGGACTCATAACTAGGGACCAAAATGTCATCTGTAGGTTTTATGAAAGTAATAAAATGCTTCAGAAAATACAATTGCTTGGCTTGGGGCCCACACCAGTTAGTCACACACCTGGTCATGTGTTTCCTTACGGAATGACGATGGCTGCTTATCTGTATGCAAGCTTGTTATTGGGAGAAAACAAAGATAAGACATTTTTGCTGTATGTCTGAACCCCATTTATAAAAACTATTTTTATAGAGTAACATTCTCTTTCCTGCTCCCTGCCCTTAACTTCAGAGAGAAGTAAATTTCCTGCAACAGGTGCTTTTAAATAGTAAGTGCTCAATAAAGCCTTTCTCTCTCCCTTTCATCTCCAAGCTATTGCCTACAGTTACATAAGAGAACCCCGTCACATCTTTCGAATATATAGCTCTATACCTTTGTGAGTTGGCTAAAATATAACTTGTAGGTCTATTTTTCTCATGACAAAGTTTATTCATTTAAAAAATACAAAGCCTGGATTTCTAAACTTGTGATTATAATTTTTTTTTCATTTATATTTTCTGAAGTTTCTACAAAAATTTATTTTCCAAGCAAACATAATGTTTCTGAAAGAAAAAGACAGGTAAGCAAAAAGAAGTTATCTGTTACCCAGAGATAATTGCTATTGACATCATCCTTTCTGGGTCTTTTCCCGTGCAGATAATTGATATTTATTTCAAAATGAGATTATGTTGACTATGATAAGTTAACAGTTTTTAGTGGGAATAAATTTTCAGCTCACTGTCTGGGCAGAGTCAGTAGGTGATGGTGGAGAGAGCAGGTGGGATGGGGGTATGCTCTGTTCTTCTCACTCCCTTCCTGGAGTTTTTGCTCCTTGGCCTCGATCTTCTTCATTGAGCTGCTGGAGGATGGGGAGAGAACGAAGGATGATGAGTGGGAAGGGTCTATAGGCCTGGTCTGGAAAATGCCCATATCATTTCTGTCCATGTCCTATTGGCCAGAAAGTAGTCACATGATTCTAAGGAATGCTGGGAAATGTAGTTTAGTTGTGGGTTTACATGGAAAAGGGAGACATCTTGTTAAACAACTTGCTGGTCTCTAAACTCTTGTAGAAGTCATTAAAAACTTTTGTTTTAACCATATAGTTGATTTCAAACATTTCTTTGTATGCTAAATCTAATCACATCTTTATCCCATGCAAAGCTTACCATCTCTTGCCAGATCTCCTTTTAATTGGTCTCCCTCCTCTGTTTTTATTCCCTAAGAGTCCATTCTCCCAAAAACCCAAAGTGGTCTTTCATAACCTTCAAATTTTGTCATTCCCCTACTTGAAACTTTCCAAGGAGGCATTACGGAGAGGGGGTGTGTTGGAATAATGCCCACCCTCTGTCAAGAGAGGCTGGCCTCGCATCTCTGGCTCCACCGTGCCATGCTGGCCTCTTCCTGTAGGGCCAGACTTGCTCCCCCCAGACTTGCTCCCCCCAGGCTTTGGGATTTGCTGGCACCCCTGCATGACCTGCTCTCCCCCATGACCATCCTCTATCTCCTTCAGGTTTCAGCTCAAGTGTCTCCTCCCCAAAGAGGCCTTTTCTGAGCACCAGTGATACATAGCCCCCCCCCCCCCCTTTCCTCTACTTAGTTGCTTATATTTAACTGTCATCAAAGCACTTACCAGTCTCAGAAATTATCCTGCTTGTTTGTTTGTGTTGTGTATTTATGTTCTGTCAGTCTGTCTTCTAGATTGTGGGTTCCTCGAGTCTGGAACTCCATCTTGCTCACATCTGTAGCCCCCAGGTCATGAGTCTGGCACATGATGGTGGGAACTTAGTAAATACTTGTGGAATGAATGGAAGTTGTTGCAGATTCACACATATTTCTAATGATTATACTATAGCCCATTGCACTGAATTGCTATAAACAATTAGTTGTCCACTTTAGTGGGGATTTTTAGATTTCTTTCACTTAAAAAAAAATGCTGTGGGGACTGTCCTTTTAGTATTTTTGGTTTGTGTGTATAGTACATATCTGTGCTTATTTTCTTAGGATTGATTCCTAAGTGAGGATTTGTTTAGTGAAAGGGTGTGTGTATGAAATGTTTAAGTGCTCAATAAAGCACTTAAAATTATTGCCATTCTATATTTCCATGTGGCTGCAGCTTCTCCTGACTTATTTGCTGATATAGTTGAAAGTTCTTATATATGTGGGATGGGTAAGGTGAGGTGTTTTCTCTGTATTATTGTATCCCTATAACTTAGAACTGGGCTCATGCTTACTAAATGAGTAAATCAGTTTCCGTGAAAATTTTAGTTATCCCTTTACTTACATTTATTTTTATTCATTTATTAATGTTTGTTGATTTTAAAATGTATGCCTTTGGGAAGTAGCTCCACCCACCCAATATAAGAACATTCACCCAATATTAATGCAAACCCAAGGCAACTAGGTATCAGCCGGGCTTATCCTATTCATTCAAACCCAGACAAGGTTCATTCGAGCCCCTACCCAGTTTGTGTGCCTGTTTGATTCAGTGGCTGATTGACAAAGCTTCAGCCTCCTGGTTCCTTCATGTTTTATTTCTCCTTACTTTTATTCCCTTTCACATGACATGATCTACATAATCATTTAGGTTTTATTTTTCTGCTAGGTTTTTACTAAACATGGGGTAGATGAATTTCATAGTACTTCTCTTTTCCTTCTTAGTGCTTGTGTCCCAAAGGGCTTCATCTCTAGCACCCCCCTCTCCCCCCCGCCCCAATCTTTTTTGATAACTTTCCATGGACTTCTAGTTGTAACTACCAACTCTACGTGAATAACTCCCAGACTAGACATCTCCCCCATTTATCAATTTATTCATTTATTTTTTTCCAACTGGTTGTTTCATAGGCTCCTAGAATTCAATTTAACCCTCTATTTTAATTTATGTTAACACTTATTAGTAGTGACCCAAACTAGAAACCTGAGAGTTATTCTGGACTTCTGCCAGACACCTTCTTCTGAGCATGCCCATCTTTTCTGAAGTCTTAGCCTTGACTACTTTTCCAACCCATGCCCTTTGGCAGGTGCCATCACAGGGTCTTGAGCCATTGGTCTCCTTGTCACTGAGCAGGCCACAGCATGTTCATGCCTGTGTTTCAAAGTCTAGCTCAATGTCGGATGCATAGAAGCTGCTTGGAAAATGTTGGAATGAATGCATGAATAAGCAGATGAATGAATGAGTGATTTCTGAGATGATTTGGGAAGATTTCCATTAAGGATGGTCTTTTTACCGGAACTGAGGAATTATGTTTGTTTGCCAGCACTGACATTCTGAAACCATAATGTTGAAGGACTATTTTACCACATGAAATTCCTTTCTACCTCAGGCCGCTCATACAAATACACACACCCCAAAGAAGGGATTATTTACTAAATTTACGGTACCTTGTTGCTGTTGGGCATTTATTCATTTATTAATGAATAAATGCCCAACAGCAACAAGGTGGTTTCACATGTGCGGTTGTATTCTTGGCACAACTGGGAAATCCTTCCTATCAGTGCAAACATAATTGATCTGCATGACTTAGTTTGAATCCAACTTGTGCTCAGTTCACCTGGACGCTCTGAATTGCTAGGGTCGTCAGAATTTTGGGCTGGAATGCAGCTTTTTGAACTTCATTGTAGGGAGCAGCAGCCTATGCTTGAGTTGGTTTGCTCTGTATTTCAGTTCTGGCCTGAAGAGAAATCCTTTTCTGCATACTAGGTGTGAGAGCGAGATCCATTGAAGTCCGTTATTTTAATTTTTTTTTCTTCCCCCTCCAACAGGGAGAATCGCGTGTGCTGAGAGTGAAGGTGGTTTCTGGAATTGATCTCGCCAAAAAAGACATCTTTGGAGCCAGGTATGTTGACTTTACTTTGTAGTCTTTTTTGGCTTGCTAACCTTAGGCACTGTTGTGGTTCAGGCAGCAGGATCACCTGGAGGCCTTCATCCAACAGAGATTGCTGGGTACCCCTGCAAATTCTGATCGAGTCAGTGATCCTAAACGCTGGTCCAGGGACCACAATTTGTGTGAAGGCTAGACCTTGTACTACTTGTGGTCAGCAGGCTAGTCCTTCCTATGGGTTGGCTTTTATGAGGAAATTGATTCTGAAGTTTCTGGTTTTTTGCAGTGGAAAAAATACAGTTTGGGAATAAGTCTGTACTTATTTTAATATATTACTTAAAACATATTCCTAGTTTAGGGAAGAATGCAAGTGCCATTTTGTTCCTAAGAAACCTGCATAATTCCTTGGCATATATTGGATAATTTAGAGGCATTTGGTGACTTCTAGCAGGGAAACAGCCAATCTTCCTGGTGTCTCAGCTTTTTTTATTTAGAGTTTTGCATCGAATATTCATGTGGGATCTTTTTGTTCCTGTTGGCCCTCTGCAGTGTGTTGCGTTACGTGTTAAACTGGTAGCAGAGTGAGGTTGGAGCCACCGGGGACAGGATTGGAACTAGATTTTGAAGAACAAAGACCTTTTGTACTTCAGACATAGAGGAGACATTGGATGTCCCAGTCCAGCTTTCCTGTCCTATGGTTGACAAAGCTTAACCCTTTGTATGCCATAAGCATCTATAGATGCAAGTGATGGAATTTTTAAAATTCAATTCAAAATATCATGGTGTGTGGGGATGGTTTCCATTTTGGACATGTGGCCGTGAGGTCCAGTAAGGTTGCTGCTGGCCGGGGGCACATAAGCTGGGAATGTCGGAACAGTGACTTGCCCCAGCCCTGGCATCCTTTTCACGTTGGATACCCTGTGGGGTTTCACCATGAGTGCGGGGTGGCTGCTGCTGCATTACTGCACCGGATCATCTGCAAGTGCCCTGCACTGTCCCCTGTAGTGACCCCCTGGTTTGGGGCCTCAGCCTGACTCAGGAGGCCACTCTCCTTTTCCTACTCCTGCACTGAGAACTCTCCATTCTCTAACACTGCCATGTTTCCTTTGCTCATGTTTCCCCCTTGGCATGGAGTCTCCTCACATCCTTTCTGGCAGGACTCTTTCCTGGGCCAGTGCAGGTGGCAGGCAGCACCCTTCCTGAGCTCCCCACCACCTGCCCCCATCACGTCCAGCCTGAGAGGACAAAACAACTCTGGTCCTTGGGCTGTGGTGGCTCCCTAAGCTTCCTCCTCCTCCCTCCAGTCCCCGCTTTAGCAGAGTTGTGGGCTCAGAGGCTACAGCCTTTTGTATTCCTGTCCATAAGCCCAGAGATCTTGGCACCTGGCCGTTTCCTAGTAAATGGATTTGAATTCAGAAGTAGAATCTAATTAGGGGGGGAGGGACTGTGGCACAGGGTTGCCAGCTGAGGAAAGGACACTCTTCCTAATTCTCATGGAGGTGCCATTAGCTTTCCAGGCATCTCCCTCACTCACACCCTGCCATCCTGGGCTCTCTTTAATTCTCACAAAGGCTCCCTGCAGATCAGGGAAGGAAGCCTCCCTAGGACATAAAAAGTGAGCGTGGGTAAGGGAGGTGATGGCAAGAGCAAAGGATTCAGGGAGTCAGTAGAATGGCAGGTGTGGGTGATCTCCAATGGATGCTGATGTCTGTGCAAAATTACCATGTCAAAACCCACAGAAGGAACACACTCTCTTGTGATGATGCAGTCAGAAACTTCTCCATTGGGTGCCTGAGGCCTGGCTGTGGCTGCAGTGAAAGGTCAAGATCCTTGGTCACCTTGGTTGTCATTGCACACAGGGGAAGTGAGGCCTTGGTCAGGAACCTCACTGGCAGTTATGGGCAGGGTCAGCAGAGACTTTCCACACTGCCCAGAGGCCCAGAGCTGCTGGGGTGGTACAGAATGCCTGTGACAAAGCAAGTGTCCTACTCCACCCCTGGCCGCTCAGCACTTGTGTATGCAAATTAACCCATCTTCTTTGTTGGGTTAATTTGCATACTCACTCCTGATTGGCTGGTGGGCATCGTCAAGGTATGGCCAATTTGCATCTTTCTCTTTTATTAGTGTAGATTATTGACTATATTCCCTGCATTGTACTTTACATCCCTGTGACTATGTTGTGACTACCAATTTGTACTTTTAATACCTTTTTCACCCAGCTCCCCAACCCACTTCCCATCAGATAAATATTAGTTTTTTTGTATCTATGAGTTATTTATTTATTTAAGATTCTACATATAAGTGAAATCATATGTTATTTGTCTTTCTCTGTGTGACTTATTATAATACTCTCTAGGTTCATCTATGCTGTTGGAGATGGCAAAATTTCATTCCTTTGTGATGGCTGAATAATATTACATTGTGTATATGTACAATATCTTTTTTTATCCATTTGTCTAATGATAAATAACTTAGGTTGCTTCCATATCTTGGCTATTGTAAATAATGCTGTAATGAACATAGAGGTGCATGCAGGGTGTCTCAAAAATGTGTACACACTGTAATAGCTGATAGCCCAGTTTCGAAAGTGAAATGTATTTTAATAAACACTGCCTTTATAATTATTCAAACTATGTGAACACATTTTTGGGGACACTCTATATATCTTTTCAAATTAGTGTTCTGGATTTTTCAGATAAATACCCAGAAGTGGAATTGCTGGGATATGAGGCAATTCTATTTTTAATATTCTGAGGACCCTCTATCTATTTTCCTTAGAGTATGTTTTCTTAAAATGGGGCGTGAGAAGGAGGGGCTCAGGTTTATTGAGTGCGTTGATGTGCCCAGCGCAGTTTGAGCAATTTATACAGAAGCTCATTTGATTCTGCCAACTGTTTTATGCAGCAGGTACTATTGTTCTCCCCACTTTGCCCATAGGAAACTGAGATATAAAAGATTAACTATGTTGTAAAGTCTATACCTCTAGTACGTTATAGAGCTGGGAATCGAGTGAGGTAGTAGTGCAAGTTATTTTCAGGCTGTTGGGAGTGCTTCCGGGACAGCTGGCACAGGAGAGAATGTGACAGTGTCACTGATACCGCCCAAGCCCTGTGAGGAGGGTACTCACCTCCCTTTTCTAGGTGAGAATATAGAGGTTCAGGACTGTCATCAGCCCAAGAAGAAACAGCTCTACAGTGAGTGCTGGAACCGAAAGATCCAGGTGTATCAGTGTTCTTTTGAATGGTAGGTTAATACTGTTCCCGAATGACAAAAGTCCAGCCTTGGATGGGCTGTTGGTCTAGATGACTGTGCGGGTTCTTCTAAAACCTGAGATTTGATGGCTAGGTTTTATTTTTTTTAAGCAGACTTAAAGAACCGGCCATTGTATTTGATGGCAGTTGGCCAGGTTCTTAGAACTGTATCATCAGGCATTAGATTTAGAATAGCTGTACTTTGTTAAGTAAGACTTAAAAAAATTTTTTTTAACTTAGAATACCTGTTTGAATTTCAAGTTTTATTCTTTTTCAGTTATGCCTGTATCTCAAGATGTTTAACCTTGTGCCTAAATAGTTAACTGAATAGGGTCATTTTAATACAAGTTTTTGATACACCCCTTCCTCCCCCCGCCCCCTGTTTTCCTGAATTATGAGCAGCCTTCATTTGAGGTGACTCAGAATGAATGCATTTGCGACAGTTTAAGCTGCTCTTTCACATTGAGCAAGACTGGCTACGACTCACCAACTCTAGAATTTCACACAGAAGTTTCCAGGGCGCTCACTTCACAGTTGCTTCTTTATTTTGTATGTTGGGTTTTTAGCATCAAATTATACCTGGTTGGGTTGCTATCATTTTTTCTTTTGGCAGCTGGTGATTTGAAATTTAAAACACACACAGCCTCAAGGGCTTGGAGGGACAAGTAAGAAGTCCCTCTGTAGTGAGCGATGGAGGCTGATGAAGGCTGCATGCCGCGAGGCAATGGCTCCGTGGAACCAGCTCGGCTCCATCCTGTCATCTAGATTGCAGTTGTTAACATTTTGCTGCTTTTGCTTCATCTTTTTTTTTTCTTGCTGAAGTATTCAAAAATGAGTTACAGACATTATGACATTTAGCCCCTAAATACTTCAGCCTGCATCTCTGCAAAAACAAGAACATATTCCTATATAAGCACAATGCAATTTTCACTAAATGACTAATAATGGCATAATGGACTCTATTACCCAGCCCATTTTCTGAGTTTCCTCAACTGCCCCTAAAATGCCTTTTACAATTGGGCTGTTTAAATGTGAATTCAGTTGAGAATCTGGTATTGCATTTAGTTGGTCAGTCTCTTAAGACCCTGCTAATCTAGAGCAGTTGTCTCCCCGCTTTACATGCTGTTGAGCTGTCAGTAGGTTGTCTCACTCATCACATTTGATTTGTTTCTTGTGGTTTCGTGTAATGCGCCCTTGTTTCTCCTGGGGTTCCTGTATATTTCAAGTTGGATCTGAAGCCTTGATTAAATTCAGTTTAAACACTGGGGATGGGAATGGGGATGCTGTCTGCTCAGGAGGGACACATTGTCTGGTCGTCCCTTAATCAGTGGTGCTGAACTTGATCCCTGGGTTAATGTGGGGTCCATCTGTCCCCTTCACTGTTAAGTTATATTCCCCCGACCCCCTAGCAAGACTTGGGTGAGGTGATGTTTTGGCTATCCACTATATACATGTAAATTTTAAATATTAATTTACCTTTTCTACCAAAGGATTAGAAGTTGTGGGGTTTTTCCTCACCCTTTTTTGAACACATTGCACAGAACAAGTCTCCTGCTAATAGAGATCCCTCAAGACTTGGGAGTCCCCTCACTAGATAGGGAACACTTCTAAGACACCCTGAGGCCAGAGTTGGCAAACTGTGGATCCCTAGAAACTAGACTGAACTGACAGGTGTTTATTTGGCCTATGGAGCCCTAAAACACAAAGCCCGAGCCAACATTTAGGATATTTCATATGAAATACCCATATTCCAAGGTTTTTGGA